CTGAATTAAGTTTTTCCAAAAAAACCTTGCTGAAATGTATAAAAACTTGGCTGAATTTAGTTTTTCTTTATAAAAACCTAGCTGAATTTAACTTTTTACCATTCGAGTATTTCCCCAGAAAAACCTTGCTGAATTGAGTTTTCCCCCATAAAAACCTTAAGGAAAAATTTGCCAAATTTGATTAGAAAAATTTTGCTGATGTAAAAAGATCCCAAAAAACTTAGATGAATTAAGTTTTTCCCCGAAAAAAAAAACCTTGCTGAATTATGTTTTTCGTTAGAAAAATGTACTTTACTTACAAGAAAACTGCACTTTCATACAAAAAAAAAAACTTTGCCAAATTTCATTTTTTTACGAAAATCGTTGATGAATTTCCATTTTCTATAGAAAATCTTTACTGAATTGCAAATTTTCAACTGGAAGGCGTCGCTGAATTGTGTTGAATTAAGTCTTTCCCCATAAAAACTTTGCTGAATTGAGTTTTTCCTTATAAAAACCTTGCTGAATTGAGTTTTTCCCTATAAAAACCTTGCTGAATTGAAGTTTCCCCCATAACAATTTTGCTGAATTGAGTTTTTCCGCATTAAAACCTTGCTGAATTAAGTTTTTCTATGAAGAAACCTTGCTGAATTGAGTTTTCCCCATTAAAAACCTTGCTGAATTGAAGTTCCCCCATAACAATTTTGCTGAATTGAGTTTTTCCGCATTTAAACCTTGTTGAATTAAGTTTTTCTGTGAAAAAACCTTGCTGAATTGAGTTTTCCCCATTAAAAACCTTACTGAATTGAGTATTTCCTAAGAAAAACCTTGCTGAATTGAGTTTTCCCCCATAAAAACTTTGTTGAATTAAGTTTTTCATTACAAAAATGTAGCTGAATTGCGTGAATTGAGTTTTCTGTGAAATATCATTGCTGAATTCTGTTTATCGCCAAAAAAAACTTTGCTGAATTTAGTTTTTCTTTATAAAAACCTAGCTGAATTTAATTTTTACCATAAAAACCTTGCTGAATTGAGTATTTCCTCAGAAAAACCTTACTGAATTGGGTTTTCCCTCATAAAAACCTTGCTGAATTAAGTTTTTCTTTAGAAAAATCTAGCTGAATTAGGTTACTCGATACGAAAATTTAGCTGAATTGAGTTTTTTGCATACTATACCTTTGCTGAATTGAAATTTTTCAGGAAAATTGAGCTGAATTCAACTTTTCTTTTAGAAATTCTTAGCTGAATTAAGTTATTTGTATGGAATAACTTTGCTGAATTGCATTTTTTAGAAAAATTTAGCTGAATTAAAATTTTATGTTAGAAAATTTTAGCTGAATTGAGTTTTTTTTTTCAATGAAGTGGTAGTAATTCTCTTGAAAAAGCTAACCATTGTACTCTCCACTCGTATCCCAACCCCATTTTCGGTATATTGATGGTTTTCATTGAGCTTGGCACATCCGAGCCTTAGAACGTTTTATTTTTCCTCGAATGTGTTTGTAACCTCTTTAAGAAAACATTATAACTTTTCTGAACTGGTCTTCAAAGGTATTTCCCTGCTTGGGTTTTTTTGTTAACAGTTTGTCAAGAAGTCATCATTTTTTAGGGTTACTTCATTTTGCGGAGAAGGGAGCGGAAGGAAGGGCAGGGGAGGGGAGGTGTTTGGCAATGGCTTTGATATGAAGCCCATCAAAAATCATGATTTCTATGCACATAGTACATCAAGGCAGTTTAATGTGTACGAACGTGTCTTGTGTGGCCTAAAGGACTCAAACACATACACCCACACATATTTGGAGATATATGCATGTGTATGCGTGTTTGTTAGATAGTTGGTCTTTTGTGGCAAATTACAAGGGTTATTGAGCAAATCACTACTATCCAGGGGTCTCTTATATGTGACGGCTATATGCATGTGTGTGAGTGTGGATGTGTTGTTGTTTTTTATTGTTGTTATCTGGCTGGCATTGTTGTATTGAGATATTGTTGTTGTTAATATAATTTGTTTGATTTTATTTCTGTGTGTATCTAAGTGATGGGCCAGGATATTTTATTCTTTTAATACTTTTGAGACCATAACCCTTTTTTTTGATGGGAAGAAGAAAAAATATATGGGTGAAACGTGCATGTGTGTATGTGTGTGTGAGTGCGTGTATTATTTTCCTTTGGTCATTATTATGATTTGACAAATTTTTTACTGTCAAGTCATAATAGTAAATGTATTAATACGATACCAAAGGGTCTAATAAAAACCCGAACTATGGCATTTGCTATTCCAGCAGCACCAATGAAAGGATTCCGGATAAACGAATGTATGCATAAATAAATGAATAAATGCCCAAAGATATCCTGCACGTTTTATATATTAATTTTTATTGAAATCTTGCTAAAAAGCAGCAACTATTAGCCATTAGATTTTTTATTTGGTTTCAGGAAATCCTTTTCAGATGAAATATAAAAGGATTTTTCAATTAATTAGACAAAAAGGATTTTGTGATCTGATGGGAGTGAGAGGGGTGGGGGGAAAAGATTAAGTCTTTATTTCCAAAATAATTTTGTTTTCAAGGCCTAACTGAGGCGTGGTTGTTTAAAATATTCTTTTCCAGGACTACCAATAGGCGTGAATTTTTAAAATAATTTTTTCCAGGACTACCAATAGGCGTGGATTTTTAAAATAATTTTTTCCAGGACTACCAAAAGGCGTGGATTTTTAAAATAATTTTTTCCAGGACTACCAATAGGCATGGTTGCTTAAAATAATTTTTTCCAGGACTACCAATAGGCGTGGTTGTTTAAAATAATTTTTTCCAGGACTACCAATAGGCGTGGATTTTTAAAATAATTTTTTCCAGGACTACCAATAGGCGTGGATTTTTAAAATAATTTTTTCCAGGACTACCAATAGGCGTGGATTTTTAAAATAATTTTTTCCAGGACTACCAATAGGCGTGGATTTTTAAAATAATTTTTTCCAGGACTACCAATAGGCGTGGATTTTTAAAATAATTTTTTCCAGGACTACCAATAGGCGTGGTTGCTTAAAATAATTTTTTCCAGGACTACCAATAGGCGTGGATTTTTAAAATAATTTTTTCCAGGACTACCAATAGGCGTGGATTTTTAAAATAATTTTTTCCAGGACTACCAATAGGCGTGGATTTTTAAAATAATTTTTTCCAGGACTACCAATAGGCGTGGATTTTTAAAATATTTTTTTTCCAGGACTACCAATAGGCGTGGATTTTTAAAATAATTTTTTCCAGGACTACCAATAGGCGTGGATTTTTAAAATAATTTTTTCCAGGACTACCAATAGGCGTGGATTTTTAAAATAATTTTTTCCAGGACTACCAATAGGCGTGGATTTTTAAAATAATTTTTTCCTGGACTACCAATAGGCGTGGATTTTTAAAATATTTTTTTTCCAGGACTACCAATAGGCGTGGTTGTTTAAAATAATTTTTTCCAGGACTACCAATAGGCGTGGATTTTTAAAATAATTTTTTCCAGGACTACCAATAGGCGTGGATTTTTAAAATAATTTTTTCCAGGACTACCAATAGGCGTGGATTTTTAAAATAATTTTTTCCAGGACTACCAATAGGCGTGGATTTTTTAAATAACATTTTTAAAGGACTACCAATAGGCGTGGATTTTTAAAATAATTTTTCCAGCGTCCTCATAGGCGTGGATTTTTAAAATAATTTTTTCCAGGACTACCAATAGGCGTGGATTTTTAAAATAATTTTTTTCAGGACTACCAATAGGCGTGGATTTTTAAAATAATTTTTTCCAGGACTACCAATAGGCGTGGATTTTTAAAATAATTTTTTCAAGGACTACTAATAGGCGTGGATTTTTAAAATATTTTGTTCAAGGACTACTAATAGGCGTGGATTTTTAAAATACTTTTTTCAAGGACTACTAATAGGCGTGGATTTTTAAAATATTTTGTTCAAGGACTACTAATAGGCGTAAAATAATTTTTTTTTTTAAAATAATTTTTTTCCAGCACTACCAATAGGCGTGGATTTTTAAAATAATTTTTTTCAGGACTACCAATAGGCGTGGATTTTTAAAATAATTTTTCCAGGACTACCAATAGGCGTGGTGGTTTAAAATAATTTTTTCCAGGACTACCAATAGGCGTGGATTTTTAAAATAATTTTTTCCAGGACTACCAATAGGCGTGGATTTTTAAAATAATTTTTTCCAGGACTACCAATAGGCGTGGATTTTTAAAATAATTTTTTCCAGGACTACCAATAGGCGTGGATTTTTAAAATAATTTTTTCCAGGACTACCAATAGGCGTGGATTTTTAAAATAATTTTTTCCAGGACTACCAATAGGCGTGGATTTTTTTACCAAAGGCGTGGATTTTTAAAATAATTTTTTCCAGGACTACCAATAGGCGGGGATTTTTAAAATAATTTTTTCCAGGACTACCAATAGGCGTGGATTTTTAAAATAATTTTTTCCAGGACTACCAATAGGCGTGGATTTTTAAAATAATTTTTTCCTGGACTACCAATAGGCGTGGATTTTTAAAATAATTTTTTCCAGGCGTGGATTTTTAAAATAATTTTTTCCAGGACTACCAATAGGCGTGGATTTTTAAAATAATTTTTTCCAGGACTACCAATAGGCGTGGATTTTTAAAATTATTTTTTTCCAGGACTACCAATAGGCGTGGCTTTTTAAAATATATTTTTTTAGTTTGTTTTAAACTTTCAATTTTTTTCCTGACGCATTAATAAATTATTTAACTGTTCGAAAAAAATAACACCACTTGTTTCAATAGCACATACACACACGCACATAATACCCATTGGCCTCACAGAAACAGATGTCGATTGTTGTTTCTTAAATTTTATTTTAGTTTCTGGCATTTGCTTTAGTTAGCGGAAATAGAAATCGAAGTTCGCACTAAAATCCACTATTATTTTGGGCACTATAAAACAACCTCAGATCTGAAAAGTTCTCACAGTTGATGTCTCCTGCCAACCCACTGAAGACATCATGAAATATTTGTCGCTGATTTTCTTTACGGCATTTTGCCTTACCTCAATCCATTCGGCATGTGTACCATTTTTTGGTAGTTGTTCGAATCCATTTGTGAATTCGGTGCCGATTATTATTGTAACACCAGCATCGAGTAGTTTCTTCGATTGGTTGAAATGTATTTGGGGAAGATGTGCGAATACACCCCCTACCGATTGTCCACCACCATCACCGCCGGTTATAGCGCCCACACCATGGCCAGTAACTCCAGCACCATTACCGCCATCACCACCAACATTAACACCCACTACACCACCTGGTAGCGGACTCATACCAAGCTTGGCTCAGCCACCATTTGGAACTTTTCCTGCACCCACAAGCCCAGCAACCGTTCCACCACCGCCAACAAGCCCAACTACGGGCTGGGCCACACCTACTTTGCCATCAACCCCAACTGCTGGCTGGCCCACACACTCTATGCCAACTACTCCAGGACCCGCTCCTATACCACCACCAGCAACTAGCCCAACTGGTGTGTGGCCTACACCTACGGCGGCAACATCCCCTACTGCTCCAACAACTGCCTGGCCCACACACTCTATGCCAACAACTCCACCAGGTAGTGGTGTCATACCCAGCACCTCACCAGAACCCGTACCACCACCGGCAACTACCCCAACCGCTGGCTGGACCACACCCACTGTACCAACTACTCCGCCAGGCAGTTGGACACCAACATTAACACCAACTGCTGCGTAGCCCACACCCACTATACCACCTACTCCACCAGGAACTCATTCTGGAGGTTATCCGCTAATGGGATAAAAATAAATATTCAATATTAGTTATGAAATATATTTTTCAAAATCTGCCTAATAAAATCCAAGAATGAGATTTTTTAAATAATTTTTTGAAAGACTTCCAACAGGCGTCGATTTTAAAAATTACTTTTTCAGGGACCATCCATAGTCGTAGATTTGTAAAATACTTTTTTTCAAAATTTTTAATTTGTATACCCTCTACCATAGTATGGAAGGTCATTCCGTTTGTAACTCATCGAAATATTCATTTCCGACCCTATAAAATGTATATATTCTTGATCAGGGTAAAATTTTAAGACGATCTAGCCATGTCCGTCCGTCTGTTGTAATCTCGCTATCTTCTGAAGGAATTGAGATAGGGTGCTGAAATTTTGCATAAGTTTGTCTTTTGTCTGCAGGCAGGTCAAGTTCGATGATGGGATATATCGGTCCACGTTTAGGCATAGGTCCCAATTTTTGGGGCTCTTGAGCGCGTTTTTAAACCGAATACGCTGAAATTTGGTACACTGGGTTCTTATTGGGTACTAAATCTATCCACAAAATATTATAAATATAGGTCCACTTTTTCTGGTAGTCCCGAATTTTCAGTATTTTGGGGGTTTTGATCGTATTTTTCCACCGAATTGGCTGAAATTTAGTATTTTGAGTTCTTAATGGGTACCAAATCTCTTCACAAAATATTATAATTATAGGTCCATTTTTTCGGATAGCCTCCATATAAGGGTAACCCCTATTTTCGGGAATTTGGGGGTTCTTGAGCGCGTTTTTCAACCGAATTTGCTGCAATTTGGTATTTTGTAGTTGTATATGGAAACAAATCTCCCTACCAAAAATTTTTAATATTCGACCCCCCCCCCCCCTTTTTGGAGTCCTCCCCATATAACCCCCTTTTTATAAACTTCACCTAACTGTGAAGTGAAATTGGGAAAAATCGGTTAAGATTTAGATATAGCTCCCATATATATTTCCATCCGATTTAAGGTAATTGGTGTACCAAAGTCCCTAAATATCTTTCGATTAGCACGAAATTTGGCACAGCGTACTGAATTGAGTCTAGAATGATGTGTGCTAAGTTTCGTAAAAATCGGTTCAGATTTAGATATAGCTCCCATATATATTTTCGTCCGATTTAAGGTAAATGAGGCACCAAAATCCCTATATATCTTTCGATTTGCACGAAATTTGGCTTAGCGTTCTGACTTGAGTCTAGAATGATGTGTGCTAAGTTTCGTGAAAATCGGTTTAGATTTAGATATGGCTTTCATATATAATTTCGCCCGATTTAAGGTAAATGGTGTACCAAAGTCCCTATATATAATTCGATTGGCCGGAAATTCGACACAGCGTACTGAATTGAGTCTAGAATGATGTGTGTTAAGTTTCGTGATAATCGGTTCAGATTTAGATACAGCTCCCACATATATTTTCGTCCGATTTAAGGTAAATGGTGCACCAAAGCTCACTCAATATCTTTCGATTTGCACGAAATTTGGCACAGCGTACTGATTTGAGCCTAGAATGATGTGTGCCAAGTTTCGTAAAAATCGGTTCAGATTTTGATATAGCTCCCATATATATTTCCGTACGATTTAAGGTAAATTGTGTACCAAAGTCCCAATATACCTTTCGATTTGCACGAAATTTGGCACATCGTACTGAATTAAGCCTAGAATGATGTGTGCTAAGTTTCGTGAAAATCGGTTCAGATTAAGATATAGCTCCCATAAATATTTTCATCCGATTTGATGTAAATGGTGCACCTAATTCCCTAAATATCTTTCGATTTGCACGAAATTTGGCATAGTGTACTGAATTGAGTCTAGAATGATGTGTGCTAAGTTTCGTGATGATCGGCCTAGATTTACATATAGCTCCCTTATATATTTTCGTCCGATTTAAAGTAAATGGTGCACCAAAGTCCCTAAATAACTTTCGATTCGCCTGAATGAAATTTAATTTAGCATATGTTGCAGAAAGACATGAGTATTTTCCTTCGAGGGAACATTGACATACAATTGTAAGGATACATATGTACAGCATACCCGAAGTGGTGAAGGGTATCATATAGTCGGCCCAGTCCGACTTTACTGCTTTCCTTAATGGTTTAATATATTTTTTTTCAAAATTTTTAATTTTTTTTTTATTTTTTAATTTTTATTTTATTTATTAATTTCTTAACGATAAAAATAACGACTATATGGCCGATAGAATTCTCGAACCATTTTATCCATTGGAATAGATTTTCTTCGATTTCTATTCTCCTTTACCTCAGGTTTTTGAATTGTGGTCTCCAGGGTATTCACCGTAACTGGTGGTAATACTCGTTGCCATTGACTGCTAATTGGAACCTTGCCTTGGGATTGAATTTTTGAATCCATATTCGGGTTTTGAACTGCATATTCCGTTTCCCTTATATCCCATTGTGGTGCATATTGATTACAGCCTTCTCCCGAACAGGGCACGAAATAATGTTGAGTATCCGAATTATAAATTGGTCTTAAAGCCGAGGATGGATTCACATTCCAAATTGTTAGGAGAACAGATACTAATACTAATGGCTGCATGCTACCTATTTTAAAGAGATTAAAAATCATACTAATTTCAATTCGTGCGAACTTCAGTGTTTATATAGCTTTGGGGAAGTTCGGAATGTGGAAAATAAATATTTTTTATGAGATCATTAGGGAAGAGGGGGAAAACCCATAATAACTCATATGTATGTTTATTCTTTAAATATTGATCACAAGTTGAACATGCGGAATGTTACCAGCTTAGGGACTGTGAAAAAAATTTCTTAAAATTTCTTAAATTTTTTTAAAATTTTGTATTGAATATCTAAACCTTTAAATATTACAATTAAATTAATATACTATCATTTATTTTATGAACATTTTAAATACACACATAACATATAAATAATTATGTGCAATTGTGTAAGCCAATGAAAATCGTGTTAACGCAAATGTTTATATAATCAAATTACTAGGCGTTAAAAAGGTAAAATGGACTAAGTCAACAAGGAAAAAAATTAAATTTAAAAATCCACGCCTTAGCTAGGCCTGGAAAAAATTTAATTTAAAAGTCCACGCCTTAGCTAGGCCTGGAAGAAATTATTTTAAAAATCCACGCCTGAGATAGGCCTTGAAAAAAATTATTTTAAAAATCCACACCTGAGATAGGCCTTGAAAGAAATTATTTTAAAAATCCACGCCTGAGATAGGCCTTGAAAAAATTATTTTAAAAATCCACGCCTGAGATAGGCCTTGAAAAAAATTATTTTAAAAATCCACGCCTTAGCTAGGCCTAGAAAAAATTTAATTTAAAAATCCACGCCTTAGCTAGGCCTAGAAAAAATTTAATTTAAAAATCCACGCCTTAGCTAGGCCTGGAAAAATTTAATTTAAAAATCCACGCCTTAGCTAGGCCTGGAAAAAATTTAATTTAAAAATCCACGCCTTAGCTAGGCCTGGAAAAAATTTAATTTAAAAATTACAATTGTATTTCAATGGTCTCTAGTACTAAATATAAGAAATTTTCGGAAAATATGTCAGTGTATGGATGTGGTGTTGTTGACCTCTAATCGGGCAAGAGGGTGCTAATGTCACGAAATATTGCCCAGGCTCGGAATAAACATCCGCATAAAGTTAGATTTCCGTGGCAGTTGTGTAGGGTATCGTATGGTCGGCCCCGTCCGATTATACTGCTCCTCTCACTGTATTTTTTTTGGTTTTTTTCTTTTCTGAATTTAACCCATTTACCCTTTGTAACGCAAAATTCCACCTCTTTATTTTTATATATGAAAAACGCATCATCACGCATACATAAATAAATAAATAAAATAAAAATACCAAAAAAAAGTTTATTAACTGAGGCCAACCAAGGTTGGTTGGTTGGTTGGTTGGTCGGCTGGGTCAGACAAATATTTGTCCACGTCATCTGGACAAATATATTTTTCAGTCGCATGGTATATCTTGGAGGCACTTTGCTCCACTTACATTTGTGTATATGTCCGCGTGTGTGTGTAGGTGTCGCAATGCTGGAATACATGACTATTAAATGACAATGCAATATTTATTGCTAGACCATCCTGCCAAAGGGTTGCGGAGGGCCTGGCCACATGCATTACATATTTAATTGTTATTGTGCTGCAATTTTTACTCTTTGTTGTTGTTGTTGTTGTTGTTTTTGGGGTTCACAAAAATTAATTGACATTTTATTTGTTAATTAATTTGTCCGTTCTTTTATTACCAAAACATTACTGCCTATAAATATTAGAAATTATTATTATGGCAATAATCCGCAAAAATGGCTATAATAATGCGAATATTTATGGGATTTCAGGCAGAAAGCTAATTTTAATTTTTAAATAAATATTTTTTTTTTTTTTTTTTTTTGTTGGTAGCGGAGAGATATAGAAAACGGGTGGCTGGGTTTTGGAAAATTTTAAAACAGCCAAAAATTAAAAATTATTTTCGAACTCCCCCCACAAAAAAAAAATTATGAAATGACATGTGTCATATTTGTTTACTTAGTAAGTTACACACACAACAACAACAATAACAAGAATCATTATTTGACAACAACAAACAACATCACAACAGATATTTGACTAATTAAATTTCCACTCCGTTCCGTAAACGACAACAACAACAAAATAAACTTTATTTTTATTAAAAAAGTAAGAAAGCCAAGAAACAAACACACAGACAGACACACACACTCTACATACATGCTGATTATTACGACTATTAAGAATATTTTCTTAAGTCAATATTTAATAAAGTCGAAACAAAATAAAAAATAACCGAAGACGACAACGACAAAATAATGTGTGAGCCGCCCCCAACCCCACCCTGGTATCCAGCACGCGTTATGACGTCTTTGGCGTGTTAAATATTTCAAAACCTCGTTCAAACTCAAATATATCTGCAGCAACAG